GTTTGAAGGTTTTCTGAAGCGGGATTCCTGAGATGGACAAAGAAGGAGTAGTGCTTTGTCTTGAGTGCAAAAACGGATAGCTAATTCACCTTTGAAACAAAGTTGTTGGAATTTGACCATTTCACTTAGGTAGCCTAATGACTTGAATCTTCAGAATTCGCTCACACTTTGCCTACAGGGGTTATTTGACATGCTATTATGGATAGGATACGAATATCATGTTATCACTATTATCAGATTACCCAACTACGACCCCCTCCCCTTTTGACTGCTCAATACGATCTCCCAGGTGTTGCGTGCCGCACCCCACGCCTGACCCTGTTAATTTTAACCCCACTCTACCGAGAGAACGTCGCATTTTATCTAAAATTATGTCCTTTTGCTAGAGCGAATTTTGGTACTTTTCCGTTAATCGGACCCATTTTTTCAAAAAGAAATATTGTCACGCACTAACCGGGTTCGTTAGTGCGAGGGCGGATATCCAGGTGGCGATAGAGAGAGTAATAGAAAAATTTATTAGAAGACTAGAAATAGCAGACAATAACAATGACTAAAACAACGGCCGGGCGGCCTTATTTATAGCCGCCACGGTACAAAGTACATGGTCAAGATCAAATTCAATAATCATTGCCTATAGGTGCCACCGCGTCCATCCTTGACATGCCCCTACGTCGGTAAAAGTCGTCCCGACTCTTGACTTGTGCATAGTGAGGATTGACAACTCTCGCGTCTTGACCCTTGGAGACCAGAAAACTGACGACAGGTCTTCTCCCACCTCCATAGAAGGAGTGCTGTTGCACCATTGATGGCCGATTTCCACCTTGGCTACCCGCATCGTGGCAATCATCTACCAAATCAAGAGGTTGTCCTTGCATCCACCTACGACTATACCTGAAAATAGAATTAAGGGGTCTAATGCGATATTTGTGGCTCTTAGTACGTGATTCAGCACCAGACTCGGTTGTCTTCACGTCATTTCTTAAGCTAGAGCATTGTGAATTTCGATTTAGTCGATTCCTGGCAGCTTTTGACGACCTGCCTCTCTTGGCTCTCTTGAGCTGTCGCTCTAGGGACCGCACAGGATTGCAGATCCTCGTGTTCTCCCCCGCCACGGTGAGCTTGGCCCCTGCCAAGTTAACGCCGTGCTGAAAGCGACCGCTCCTGCTTTTTGTACTCGAGGCTACTTTACAGTTCGCGACCTCTTCCCGTACTCCTTTACGATTAGGAGACATCTCGGTTAGCGGTGCAGTCTCGAGCTGTTGTTTCCGCTTTTTCCGTTTCCTTGGAACACCGACTTGGACGAATTTTTCGACAACTGTCCTTCTTGTGCCACTATGAGTGTTTCTCAAATCAGCGATATATGGCCCAAGTTGCGGTAGCGCATTTGTTCCGAGCACAACTCTGCCATCTCCTCCCTCTCTAACGAAAAAGGCTACTCTGTGCTTGGTCCCACTCTCGACTTGCAAGGTGAGCTTCACCGCTCCCTTGAACTTTATCCGTTTCCCGGAGGCATCGTATGCGGAAGGTAACTGCTGAATCGGGATTTCTTCAACGTCCGCGTTCAGATCAAATCCCTTTTTCATGCTCATCATTAGCAATCTCAGGGGGATAATGCTGATTTGAGAGCCTGTATCTACCATAGCTCTTCGAAACAATCCCAGCAAACGTACATTTAGCACCATTTGCTTCCCAAACAGCTGATTCTTCCTCGATCGTGTCCTTGCCGAGCTGCAAATCCATCGATCCAAAGATGCCGTAAAGTTACTTGGGCACTGTTCAAGTTTCTTTGCTGACGCTAAGGTTTTTCTTTCTCCACACTCGCGACTATAATGTCCTGGTTTGTTACAGTTGTAACAGAGTGGCCACCTTTTGCAAGATGCTTCCAAAGTATCTTGCATAACACAATTTTTTTCCACCACTGGAGTCTGGCTCTCGCTAACGGATGTATCGGCATATGCATTTAGCACGACTTGTTCCGTGCTTTGTTGCACCGCCACAGCCATCTCTCTGCTACGTTCGCAGCGCAGCGCCATAGCTTTCACCAGCTTATACGCGCATTCCCTCGGCGCTGTCTCTACGGTGGTGAACATCTGGAAGTTTTCAGGCCAGTCCCTCAACTGCAAAACCAATTCTGCAGCTCTTATCCATGAGAGCTGCTTGTCTGTGGTGTCTGGGTACGCTAACCGCGTAAGCCTCTCTAACTCAAGACAGAAGGCTGTAATGTCCTTTGTCATCCGCAGATGTTTGAGTTGTACATACGCAGTTATTTGATCAGCAGACTCATTTATGCTCCATGTGTTTCGCAGTGCTTCTACAATTTCTTCAAAGGTACTCTCCCGTATCCTTGCTGATAGTGTTTCGGCCACTACCTTAGGATATCCGTCCAATTTAGACAGAGAAAGATGTACTAGCATGTCGTTATGCAGTCCAAGTCTACCATACTTCATTATGAACCTGCAAACAAAATCATCGCAGTTCCTTCCTTGGGGATCTCCATAGAGCTCAACCTCTGGAAGGGCCATTGCTGCCAACACCTCGCAATATCTGCCTGTGCGACCTCACCCTCGGTCGACGGGATTGTATGCGGAACCCTATTCTGACACTCCGGCATTTTCTGCATGGTGTCCATCGGCTTCTTCGATGAAAACAATTCAAGCTTGGTATCTGTACGAGATAGAGCTTTATTCAAATCCAATGTTCTGTGCTTCACCTGCAGCACAAATTCAATTTCGACGATGTATCAGCTCACGGTACACAGGCGTATACCCCTCCTCCCTCTAGACTGGGTCTTGCGGTGTAGCTGATACAAGCCACAAAGTATACCCCTTGACCAAGAGGGGCCTGTCAGTATACGGTACACGCGCCGCTGCTCCCTTGTAGAGGTAGACCGCGGCGTGTAACTGACACCCTCCTCCGGTCCTCTGAGAAGGCTCGATGTGCGGTGTGCCACACAACGAGCTCCTCTTTAAATCGGGGATATACACTGCCTCTGATATAGGCAGGATACTCGCCTTTCCGCTTACGCGGTCTTATCGGCGGGGTTGGGTTGGTTCGGTTCGGCCCCCATGTCCCGCACTAACCGGGTTCGTTAGTGCGAGGGCGGATATCCAGGTGGCGATAGAGAGAGTAATAGAAAAATTTATTAGAAGACTAGAAATAGCAGACAATAACAATGACTAAAACAACGGCCGGGCGGCCTTATTTATAGCCGCCACGGTACAAAGTACATGGTCAAGATCAAATTCAATTATCATTGCCTATAGGTGCCACCGCGTCCATCCTTGACAATATAGCTTTTTTTTTTCTTGTACCATATTGGTTCTAAATTCACAGGAAGGAGTATCAACCTTCTGCTACGTGTCAAAAAAATTTTACATCTACACGTATAACAGGTTTAGCAGGGTTTTGTTTTGTACTGCCCAGCGACGTAAATGCGACTGTATCCAAATCAATAATGATCCCATTTTCAAATAAAGGATTTCAGAAATGAACACTGTTATAATATTAACGTCATTCTGTTATCACTGAACAGATTAGATTTGCCCAGAATGGAGAAGTGTGCTAGAATTTCATTATCCAAGCGGCAAAACAAGCAGCAGCGAGATACCGCAAGCCACCATTCATAGTCTCTCCTGGCTAAGAGAGGAAGGCAAGCTTGAGGTCTTGCTGAAAGCAACTAAGATGTTCTGCTATGAGTCCTAGACAGTTTTGCTTTTATAGAAAAGTTGTAAGGCTTCTAGGTGGTCACAAACGCTTTTTTAACTCACCGGAAATGATTTCGAAAAAACAAGTCAAAATCGACTAAAACGTGTCAAGTTTTTCCTAACACGTGGCGGGGAGGTAGTGCTTGTAGAATCTACAGAAAAAAATTTTTAGGCTAAAAAACGTATGTTGTGAGGGCCTTTTGAAAAAATGGGTCCGGATGACGGAAAAGTACCCAAATTTCTGTACAACGAAGAATTACTCTGATTATCTATATATATAACAGAGCAAGCCTTCGCCAATAGACGTAGACCGTTGACTTTCTCGTAGCTTTCATCCTGATTGCAACAAGAGAGCAGCAAAAGAACACACTAGAACAGTTAATATGCTAGCCAGATAGAATCGCTCATTTTTCCCGCCAAAGAAAACCTAGTAGAAAATTGGTAGCGCCGTTCGATTCGTCATGACCTCAGCTTTCCAATGATAGGTAGAATCTTAGGGCATTTTACTTAGGGCTTGCTTTACCCTTTTCTCCACAAGGATAGGAGTAGCGGAGACCCCCTTCACCTGGAGAGGGTCCGACTCTCCCTGTCGCACTTATGGTTCTAATCGATGCACAGCCCAAAACGCAGCGCAAATAATGTACAAATCAGAGCTGAGTAATCCATCCCCGAACCCTTGGCGCCTGTGCCGCGAAACCCTTGGCGCCTGTGCCGCGACCGTAACCCGAAAAGACTTCGATCACATTACCAGTATTCTCGCTGGGACCACCCTAAGTCACTCGAGAGTTACTGTCCGCGCAGGCGCGGAGTGTTCGAGGACGGATTTCTCAGCCTTGAATGAATCATTTGCGCTGTCATTTGGGCAGAGCCTTAGGTAACCCACTCCCCCCCCCCCCAATCAGTTATCGGGCAGAAAACTCATGGACCCAAATTTGCTTGTACACTGCCTTTAATACATCACTGATTGGGGAGAAGGGTCGGGGACCTGATCAAGTGCGCCTCCTCAACAGTGACAAACACTCAGGAGATTGAACGATTGATATATAGCGCCTCAGATCACTGCACACAGCCTGCAAAGAACGTCTGGGCCTTAGTTTTGACGTTGCATATTTCCCCACAAAAAGAGTAAAGTCTCTCGTGTTTTATCCGGAGACTTTTATCATGACATCATGCTTACATTTACATATAGTTTTTCATTGGTCACGGACCTATAATAGGCCAACTTTTGGCAGCTCCATTAAGCTATTTTTAAATGTACACAGTTCATGGTCTGCATCAAGAATGAAACGATTTACTGAACACTTTGACCTTCACCCTTATCAATGCGCCACAGGCTTGATACGATGACATAGAAATAATGATTGCAAGAAATGTAGTGTTGCAGCAGTTTTCGTCATTCATAAAAAAGGCGAACTTTCGAAGTGCTGACAAGGAGATCATCATCGTAGAAAAGCGTTTCGACCACCACATTGCCACTGAAAGAATTATTTTTATGGCATAAATTAGAAATTGCGAGCTTTTAACCTGAGCAAGGATGCCGGCAACATTTGTGATTCAGGTGCTGCTTCGATTAGTGTTTGCCATGTATTCGTGGAATCCGGGATGACGAAACCGAATTCGAAAAACCACTCTGAAATCAGCAGTGAAAACTGTTGTCTAATGCTGATGTTTTAGAATTTTACTACGCAAAACTCTCTGCAAAATGCCCTACCCCACGACTGAGAACTTTAAACGTATAACAAACTTTCGGTCCATCAAGAACTTTTTGAATAACCTATTTCAGGAATAGAAATTTTTATAATTATTCATCACTTCCACAATGCTTTGTGATGAGCAAATTTCTGAACAGTAGTACAACATGAGTTACAGCTAAGAAGGACTGGTAAAAATTCAAATTCTCTCTAAAAGTTCTTATCTCATCCAGACAGGCTACAAAACTATAAATCATTTTTGTCATAAGATATCGATCGGTTCAACTGCAAAAATCCTGAAGAAGTTGATTGAGAGTTTTAAAATGGCTAGTCATTTCATACACCGAGAATCCCAAAAATATCTCCTTTCATGCACTTTTCCAAACTGCATTCACTGAGCAGGAGAGACACTCTTATGCAACATATGTTTTCAAAGTAAGTTGCTAATGGTACCCAGAAAAGCTACAAAGGCACATTAGAACTTGGCAAAAAAAATCGAAAAATTGACGCATTGACGATGACGCCTGATTTTGCATGGCCGCGCTTTAAGACGAGTCTTGTGGTTACTTACGAAGTTCAAGGTTGGTTTGTAAACAACTCTAAACATTTTTCTGAACGATGGAGCTTACAGGTCCCAAGAATGCAAAAAAATTGGAAATATCAATATGTGGAAAGGATACTAGACCTACAAAGAATATGATTTTGCAAGAGATGTGGGCCGCCAGTCATTCGAGCTGGATATCCCGCTTTACTACGCTAGAAAAAAATAGACCGTTCAACTTTGGTAACCTTCTTCTATAAAAAAGGGATCCAACATGGGCCATCTCTATTCTGCAATTTAGTTTTGCAGGATCTTCGAAATCTTTGTAAAGCTAGCTATTCATTAGTAATAATGGTCTTCACTCATAGCTATATGGTAGATAGAGCAAATCACTATTGATTATCCCCCCAGAAATTTCCAATCAAGTTTGAAAATTGCCTATTACCTGTCGACTTCCTGTGTGGACTTGAAGTTGATCTCTCGGGAAACTGTGTGGCTATGCGTTTGAGAAGCTAATCAATCACACGTTCCTCCGAAATTACAAAATTTTCTTTCCCTAGTCTTCTATGTCCCGCTCATCAGATCTACGCTGATGCAGCTGATAATGTGCTAAAGTGGGAGGAAACGGCTGAATGTGCGTTCTTATGTCATCCCGAATGAAGAACGCACTTATGAAGTTCTGAAGTAAAAGTTTATAAACCCAACGGATTTGTTCGAATAAATTTTGTTTTACTATTCCACCTGGTTGCTTGTAAATTCAAGATTGCTATAGCCACTTTGGCTGCATCATCCCTAGCCTACCTTGCCATTAGGAATGATCAAATTATTCCCAACACGCGATCTTCGAATGGCTAAGAAGCAAACATGTTTCCAAGGAGCTCGGGTTTGGTCATCCCAGCTCCGCACTTAGACATTATGAAGCATAAATTGAAAAATCTTGCCTTCTATGATGTTTTCCTTCAGAAATACTCGCTGCTCCAGCCGAAATTTGTCAATCTTCTGAGCGGATGTGAAGTTGATCTCTCGGGAGACTGTGCGGCATTTCAATATGCTTTTGGGGACATGAGCTGAATTGTTAAGATAATAAAGATTGTCAAAAAAAGGAGCAAATACGTAATCCACCTTCGTGTACACGGTTCGGGTCGGCCATATCTTCAGTGCTTTGCCACAAAACTCGACCACTTTCCGCATCCCGCAAATTCATCCAATTTCTGATGAAATGCAAACAATGTTTGAGCACACCAGGATCCATGTCCTTAACTTACAATTTGAAGCCATGCAGAATACTGTCGGCCTTCTCATTCATTATGTCTCTTTCATCTCTTTGCGCAGCTGCCAGCATCATGGAAGACAATTAATAGATGTTCCAACTAATTCTAAAAAATTTATATCTGATCTGCATCTGGATCATAAATCGTACAATACGAGTATCAATAGCATGAACAAAAAGGAGTAAGCATACTGTTCACGTTCTTCGATTATCGTTTCAGAAAGAGAGTGCCTGCGTCAAAACAGCGAGAATTGCTTACCGAGTGCAGCATTTGTTTGTTATTTTGCGTTCACGACACATGAGTCTTTTCCGCGATCAAGCGCTAGTTCCGTAAATATGGCTGAATACTTTTGAGACGACCTAGCTGTGTATAAATACTGTTTGCAAAGCGACGAAGCCTACACTTCCTTCCCCTCGCCCTAGTACAAGGTAAGAGAGGCTTCCTTGGCTCAGTGTGGCCACTGGAATTGTTCTCTTCATAGGAATGCGGAAAACGCTACCTGCGTATTCTTTCAGATCTGTGAAGCTTCTTTTGAGAACGGTTACAAGAATGATTTGGGGCAAAGCGCCACAAAATGATCATCTTTAAGCTAAATGAGACGGTGATGCATTTTTTCAGACAGTCAGATTGAGTAGTGCTGACAAGTAGTTTTCCAAGGTTTTCGTGCTCAACCACAGTTTAAGCGAGTGAATTTTTTCGAAATTGCTCTCCCTTGAGGAAGTGGCAGCTATGTGTGACAATCTACTCTGCATTCACTCATAAACAACATACAGCTACTTCGACTGGGAATAGTGGTAGTCCTGTCGTCTGCTGTCGTTATTTGCCGCAGTAGTCCTTGAATGGATTATTAAGAGAATCAAAGCAGATGACTTGATTATCACTAATCATTCATGAAGCTGGTTGTTTAAAGTTAGGTCTAGATGCCAAGTTTTGAACTCAAAAACCCCGCTTAAACAATAAGACATTTATAAATTTTTTTTCGCCTCCGAATAAGAAAAGATGCAACATATACGTATTTCTCCCAACTGGATGTAATTTTCAAATGGAGTAGATAAAGCGGCAGTAACAAGTGTTTATTCAGAAAATGGGTTTTTGATATCTTGTGCGCGAACGTGTATTAGGTTGTCCTGCGATTATCTAATATATATTCTGCACATTCAAGATATTTAAAAAAGGCCCTCTTATGTATTTCTTTATGTGTATAAAGCAGAAAATCTGTTCTATGCACATTTCCCGTATAAAGGATGTGCGGTGAAGCTCATTTTGATCTGCTGGCCATCAAGATATGGTAAGGACAGTAGGAAGCAAACCCAAGAGAGTCGGAATCAAAAGAAGGGTAAGTTTAGCTACATGAGAGTTCAAGTACGGTGGAGGCTCCAGAAAGGGGTGGAACCCAGGATGCCAGTCCGTTGCTTCATAAACATTTAATTTATGTTTTTCGACGAACAAAACAAGCTAGTGGAGTTTGTTAGTCACAACTCCAGCGTTTAGGAGCTGCTCAAAGTAACTTACACGGCAACACGCAACTCTTCGATAAAGTAAGGAAAACTGCTTCAAATGAATGCTCCATTTTTCCAAGCAACGGATTAATAATCTGGTATCTGCGTAAACAATCCCGTTATTTTTTTTTCGGTCGCCACTCGCTTATCCATTTGCTTACAGTTCAGGAGAAATTTGAAATCAGAAAACCTCACGGGTTATTGCGATTCTCGAAAAAAAGGAAACAAGCCATCAGTCCATCACTGAAATCAAGAAAGAAGCATATTATAGAAAATGGAACCCGACCCGCAGACAATACCACATTATTATTATCGCCCTAAAAAAGTGGTAGCTTAGTTGACCTTAAAAATCTGCTTGAAGCGAAAGAGGCAGTGGAATGAATAAATGACATGATCGTAATCATTCTAATCGTTCTTATAAGTAGATATTGTATTTGCAAAGATAAATTTCCGCATCTATTTCCTTGCACTAATTGTGCAAAACGAACTTTGCGTGATGAACAACACAATAAACAAATTAGGCCAACATAGACATATACATTTTCTTTATTGTATACGTACATGTTAGCGTAATTTGCAATTTTTCGCTCAGTCTCTTTATATTCTACCTTTCGTGGCTTAGACCTCATCTTTTAGTTTGTATATTGCCAATTAGCTTCCTTGGAAACTACTGACAAGGGGCACCAAGGAAGTTGCACTACCGTTTTAGTTCTAACAATGACCGAAAGCGGATAGTGTAAAACATACAAAATCATTGAATTTCTTGTCTTCTATCTAGTTTTTATCATTTTCATCATATGCTTTTTACTACTGAAATCTCAAAATCTGTCTCTTTGTGAAGGGAGAAGGAAGTTGAACTAGAAAGCAGGTGTAGCATTTGGATGCCTCAAAATCTTCTCGTAAACACATTATCGGCTTACATCAAAGCGGAAACACATTTGTCGATGCTAGTCTTGGGAGCTTTCCAAGTGACAATGACAACGAACTTGATTGCAAGCAAAAGGACTTGCTAACAATTTTGAGTTAAAAAATCGAAAAAATGAAATTTTAATGATTTCGAATAAATCGGCAGTTTTGATATTCCTCAGCACATCAGCCAATTAGGTAATACCTCTCCCTCTCCTCTCCTTTGCAGGAACTTGTTTCTTGCCAAATCGATGCTAAGAGAGGGCTAACAATAAACTCGGTTAGCACAAAACCTGTTTCAATCAGGACGAACTGAGAAAAGACTTTCAAGAAGAAGAACTATGTTTCGACAATTTTAGCTTGATCTGAATGCAGAGAATTACAAAACTTCTCGTTTTGCCCACAATGAGGCTCTTGATCACACACTAGACATGAAATTACCACATTTCTACTTTGATTCGTAGTTGTAGGCGTTCCAACTTTGGTGCACAAAGCTGTGAATGATGAATTTTGGTCAACACTTTTCACGTATCTTAGTAATGGCTTAGCTTAGGATGAATATAAAATTTCTAGCCAAAATTCATAAAGTTGCATAAATCAGGATACCCAATACCAAAGTCAGAACACTTTAACATATGAGGCTTTTGGCTCGCCTCAAAATTCAACTCGTTTTTCGAAAGATTAACTACCATCGTAAACAACCATTCACTGCTGACAATTAGAAGACAGGCCAATCGGTGAGATTCACCAACGATTTGAGCAGAAAAATTTTTCAAGTAACCAGTTCGCTTTGTATGTCAGTCATTTGGAAAAAGCGAGTTTTCATGCAAGCAGTCGATAAAGAACCTTCTAAAAGTTCTTTCAGGGTTATTTCGAAAAAACATTAGCTGGTCATCCGTAAAAGTATTTATTATTTTTCGGTTAGGGAAATACGCTAATAATATGCTAGCTGTAAAAAAGCCATAATGCGTGGACAAATGTCTATCAATCAGTCTAGAGTGAAAAGCCAGATAAAAAGTGAACGAAAGCGGATTTTGGTGTAAAACCAAGTTGTTTTGAGTGTTAGTATATGAAGGTGACCTGAGCACACGGAAATTGACATAGCTGGAGTGCTGGCTCGTACATGGGAGGAGGAGGGAGGAGGGAGAGCATTCGCGGAGCTGCGGCGAAATCGAACGCGCGGACAACCCGACGGGCTCGTTTGGTTGCCCGAGGCAACATCGGATGTCATCACCGCTCGCAGGTCTTCTGCGCAGGCCAAAGCTCTGAAGTTTTATAACTGATGGAACCCTATGTCCGAGATCCAAATAAGTGACAAGTAGAGAAAAGAAGGGAAAGACTAAATCAATTATTAGGTTGGAAACAAAAGGATGTTGCTTTTTCGGCTTTATTTCGTTAAAATTGACATCTCTCAAAAATTAAGGCATATCCAAGGCGGAATCTTTTTGTTGGAGTTGAGAAGGTTTATAGTATAGTTGAAACCGAATATTTTTTGAATAATTTCGAACTAGAAAAGCCGAATATTCAGAAAAGTGCATTTATTCGATTATTCGAGTAGTCAAATAATTGATAAGGAGAGGGTTTGGCAATTTGCCAATTTCCATTTTTCAATCTTTTGTTGATCTAAATGAAAAAATACAGGCATCTGTGTATAAATGGATCTGTGGATGTGTTCTTTGCTATAAACCCTCTACAGTGGCGTACCCAGGATTTCCGCTCGGGGGGGGGGGCAACAAAATTTTTTTTGAATGAATGTGCGTGGCGTCAGCCACGCACTCCGAAAAAATTTTAGGGGTGCTTCTCAAGATTTTTGAGGGTCCCCAACCCCTAAAATGTGGAAAAAGGAGGCGTGGCATCAGCCACGCCCCCGAAAAAAATTTTTTTACAAGGCTAAATTGAACTTTTAAAATTTTTAAAAATTATTTTAATTATTTACAATTATAAATAAGTTACTTGCACATTTTTATAACCCATATAAGTAACTTTCAAAAATTTCGCGACCCATTCTCGGGGGGGGGGGGGGCGCCCCCCTCCCTCGGACGCCACTGACCCTCTAACAAGAATATTTGGCCTTGGCATGTGTTACATACAGGAGCGAAAGAAGTTCGTAGGATTTTCTGGGCGAAAAGATTTTTGACCTCATAGTTGTTCTTATGTTGTGGATCCAAACTTTGTGTAGATCACGACTTGTGCCATTGTTTAAAGATCCCTTCTAGAGCTTCCTTGGCTCCATCGGATGGTAACCTCACATATATCCCTGGATTCGTCTTATTGCTTTGCTATAAAGAACTATAGTTTTTTTTTCAACTCACTAGAAAAAAGTGCTTGTCTGTAAACAGTATTGAGAACGAAAACGTATAGGCAAGTCATCGCACGCAGAGACAGACCGCAACTGTGCAAAAGCGTTTTACATCCTTCTGAATTCTGCTATTTCTCCCAAACTCCAAATCAACTCTTCGGATGCAAGGCGTCCAGTTTGAGCGCGATAACTCCAATATAAGCGTCTTCTTTCACTACTGATCTAACAAGGGAAGGACACTTGGTCGGATTCGCGATTCCTTATGTATCTTTTGCTTCAACCAGATCAGCAGCTGGAAGGACGGGCTCCATGACCTAAATGAGGCTAGAAAACGACCTTAGAGCATGTTCACGAGTGAGGCGTAGACTGCGTCGGGGACGCAAGCAGTCGCCTCTTAGGTCATGAAGCCCCACCTTCCAGTCGTCGATCTGGTTGAAACGAAGGGTAATGTATACTATTTTACATAGCATGACGCCAATTCCAAATCTGGCTTTTTTATCTGCAGAGTTCTTCTAGGGGGGGAGGGGAGTTTCTAGGGAAATTTTCAGGTAAAAATTCATTTATCTGACTAAAGTAAAAGCAGGTGTTGAAGTCTTTTCGGCACTTGAAAGGGGTAATGTGACATGAGTCCGCTAACTTGAAGGGATTTATTGCATAAAACGCCCTGGTAGTAATCATGGCCCCATTTGAGTTCATGGGCTAAAGCTCTTGATTTTTTTTTGTACCGGCGCTTCAGATATTTGCATCAAAAAATTACTCCCCTATCAAAAAAGCTTTGCATATACCGAAAGCAGGTTTGAAATTAGCGTTCCATTCTCTATGATAGCATACATTATATACATTATGTTTGAAAACCCCCACTTCGACCAAGATGTTTCCCTTGTAAGATATTGGAATACATGCTAAAAACTGAAAATGTTTCCGTGTAATCACTAATCCATGCAGAAAATTCGGCCCACGGGCAAAAATGGCGAAATTTGAGACAAACAATGAATTGGCTCAAAAATTGGTAATATGCTCGTCTACTGAGCATACCCATACAAATCAGCTGACCCAGTTAGACTACCTTGGATTCTTGCGTAGAATGGTGAATCATTTGAACCTGACATTGTAATTTTGTAGCTGAGAACGAAGTATGAACTAAAACTTCAAAATCTTTTTTTTTGCGTGCACCAATTTTATCAAATTTTTACCTTTTCGACATATGCGTTTTGTACCCACCAATTTATCATCTGTTAAGGAGGGCACTAGCTTAATCCTGCGTTTTGGTTGAGCCTGTTGTTTTTTCTAGGGGGTGAGCTCTTTTCTCTGGTCGACGAGATGTTTGATCGAATAGTTTACTCATGTGTCTTCGACTTTTCAGACTCTGAAGAAGGCGAGTTTGCTGAAACGTTAGTCTGTACTCTGTGCTATATCTATACCAATCTTGGACTACGCTCAAACAACCAACGAGATGAATATCACCTTTGTTATATCTTATTACTTCACAATATATGTACCCTCTCGGTCTCCGGCAGTTATAACCCCTCAAACATTTTCGAGCTGCTTCCAACGAAGAATAGAAATTCTATAGAGATCTTCTGGTTATCGATCTTACCGGTACAAAAGTTATCTCTGCTTGAGATAATAATGAACGTGATGTGATTTTTTGATGCATCACTTGTCATTATGTCTGACACCAGTAAATTTTGATAATTACACGCTGAGATTGTCACGAGGGGAATGTTTTTCTTTCGCACACAAAAACCGGGTGCGAACGTAAAAGTTCGCCGAACGTGAAAATTACAGGTGTGAGGATGGTAAGAGCGATGGGAAGGTTACGAAAAAGTCGCGAACCTTTACCTGGTATTGCTCAGACTGCCAGACACATTCCGTGAATACCTTCGTTAAAGACTGGCAGTACAGCAAAAAATGAAATGAAATTTTGCTGAAAGTCTCATGCTAATGCAGCAAAGACCTAAACATTGTTAAAAAGCTATTCACACTGTTCAACAATTATTCATTTAACAATTCTCAAAACTCTTTTTGCAACCTCTTCAAACAGAGTAGTACGTACAAACGCTGTGCACTCGTTATTACAATGACGCCAGGCATAGAGCAAAGTATTTTATACACAATTAGTTTATTAGTTAAATGAGGACAACAGATCGTACGCAATATTTGCATGAGTTAATACACCAAAATAACAAACAAAGAATACTTAGCAACAGTTGGGAATAAGATGAGCATAGAGGCAAAAAATTACGAGAAAAGATTTGCTACAAGTAGTTCTTCGGGCTCCTGGAAGAAGAGATTTTATTAATTTGCTAACTACAAAGCAAAAGATTATAAAATACCTCGCATTTGTCAAGGCGGTTTGCTTGATCCTTCTTCCGTTTCATGGAAATTTTGGACAAAATAAAATCAAATACTTCGCCAAGGTAATTTACAAACACCAGTTCTGCAAAAGAGATTGAAAAGGAACACTAAGTTAGTAGCTTCACACAAATATCTCACCATGTCCAATTCTCGAATTAGTAGAAAACAGGAGCATTTTGCAACAATGATCAGTCGGGTTGACGTACAGCGTAAACTGGTCTTCACTTCTTTTGATGGTCGTTCGTTTTCTTGCCAGAAGGTGACAATGCAAAAAGGTCGACCTGTATGTCATTGTGTTTTACCTGAGGCAATCCGCAGGTCATTGCATACAGAACTTATAGATACGTCGGTTGTAGAAAGAATATTAAGTACTTACAAAGTGTTGAAGAATTTTTGATATGAACATACCTCGAATACAACTATGATGGTTTTGAGTTTCTCCATGCTCCACAAACATCAAGGCTTCGAAATCATTTTAAAAAATCAGTTTTATTTTCAGTGTTTGGTCTTAAAAATTGCAGGGAAAAGAATCATCATGAATTCTCGTAACCATGTATTGCTGAAAATCGATCAGTTGAACTCTTGTAAACAATTTCTATTGCAACACGGTCTCCATGCACGTTTTTGTGTTCAACGTTCGCCTAGGTGGTGTATATGCTTGTTAATTCTTTATGCATAATCACAGAAATCAAAACTCAAAGTCTTTTTTGGTTACAATTCTTAGAATACTTAAGGAACAGGAAAGAATGTTGTTCTGCTTTAACGGTCTCTATGTTAGGTTTCTTTGTTTCAAAATACGATGAAGCAAAAATATCATCAAATTAAATTGTCCCATAAGTCTTTCACATTTGATTCTTTACTGCCATAACTCATTTCTTCGTAAATTTCTCATGGTGATCGGGGTAACTTTCGATAGAGCAAAGCAATCTCTACACGATGTTCAAACATTCACACCAGGTTTGATTCAAACAAAGTTCGAATCCGAAATTAAAAAATTCCAAATGCCCATGAAATTGAAAAAAAAGCAAATCTTCGTTCATTCTACAAACTTCCAACTTGTCCAAGCATACAGGGTGTCCCAAAAAAATGTGCCTACTGTTTGATTGTGAATAACTCTCTTCTAACGAAGTCTTTCGAGAAGCTTTAGGCACCATTTTGTAGAGCGAGGTTCAACTTAGATTTGCAGTATAGAGCGAATCACCAAGCTCTTTTTATTATTGTAGGATTACGGTAGGAACTTCGACAAGGATTTTAGGTCTTTAGAGGCCATAATCTGCCTCGGAACATAACCAAACAAGCCGAAAATTCTTACACTATGGTAATGGAAGCCGCTCTTTTCGAATATGAAATTTCCACTTTACTGTGGTGCCTCTTTCCTAAGTTACCCAGGTGAACTGTAATAATTGAGTTTCCGGCATTTTTCAGAAATGTGATTACACCGTCAAAAAAGCTGAAAACACCCGTAAAAAGTTGTGTAGTGGAATCAGCGTGCGCGAAAACCCTAGTACACGATTTTTCAGATTTTTTGAAAAAAAATTTTGTCAGGCGGCATATTTCACGATGGTTCCATATGCTGAAAGTTCCTACCGTATTCCTACAGTAATAAAACGAGCTCGGTGATTCGCTCTATACTGAAAATCTAAGTTGAACCTCGCTCTACAAAATGGTGCCTAAAGCTTCTCGAAAGACTTCGTTAGAAGAGAGTTATTCACAATCAAACAGTAGGCACATTTTTTTGGGACACCCTGTATAATTCCACATCAGAGACGTTCTACAATTGCTGTATATTTTCTATTGCTGGAAATCAAAAAAATAAAAATTTGTATGTTTTCGTAAAAACTTTACTGGGCTGTTTCTGCATAGACAAGTTTATAGTATAGACCTTTATGAGCACCACTATGAATTTTCGACCCATGAAACCCCAGAAAAGTGACATTTTTGGCTTTCTCGTGATTTTGGATATTTTTGTTTTCGATTTCTAGCCGTGGAAAAATTCAGCAAATTTAAACATAGATGTCTGATGTGGGGATTATATACCTAAGCAAGTTAGAGTTCCGTAGAGTTTTCTGGTGTAAGATCTGATTTTTCGGGCACTCGAAAACTTTTGAATTCTAGCTCCAAATTCACCTGTAACAAACCTCCCGCAATTTTCGAAGGCCATCTCGTGGTGCTTGCGTTGCTCTATCAAATAGTCGCTTAAGCTCTAACTTGAAAATTGAGGTTAGCTGATTATTCATATGAAAAGACTTATGAGACTACCTAATATCCAGACCGCTTAAGATCAGATGCTTTTTGAGCACCTTGATGCTATGATCGGAAGAATTCGACCCTTTCCAATCGAGAAGCAGTTGCTGCTTTTTTGATCTATGATATATGGATCAATCAGACGCAATAGCAGGAGTGTTGGAGACCGGCATTTGCTAATTCTCCAATCCTTTCGCTGGTCTAAGAGCATAAATCTTTTCGTATCACTCTTTCATAGGTCTTTTTCCTGGGCAGCGTACGCTTTCCTTCCGAGATTGCTCGATTCGTCTCAAGAATCTAGTAGGATCGTTTTTCTTCCAACGACAAACACTCAAATGGACAAAGTTCGAAAGAGTTTCGACAAATTTGATTACGCTCTCCGCTCTCCAGTTTTCTTCCCGGTTTCCAATTCGTCAACAACTTTGGCTGCTTCTATAAATATGTAGTTGGTAACCATAGGTTACATATTTGGTAGTGTGTCAAAAGCAACAAACAAAAGGCCGATACCCCCAACCGCGTCGTTATTACATCCCAAAAGCAGCTGGCAGAATCTTGATTATTATCCATAAGTATTGAAGATGTTAAGATACAGCTATGTAAGAAAAATAATAAAACTACAAGAAAAAACTAAAAAGGTAAAGGTTGAGCTATCGAAATAAGGAGGGATAAAAAACCTCTTTCTTTTTCTTGCGGAAGTTGCGCAGTTGTCGAGAAAGAATGGATTAGACCTCCTAATATTTGGTAACCTAATATAGCATAGAATTTTAAGTCAAAACTATTTTTATTCCTGAGCACCTTCGCAAAGTGCGTAACATTAAACGGGCGCTTGTCTTAATGGGAGTTGCAAATAAAAAACTCTCACTCTTTCAGAGAAGCACTTTGTGACTCGTCTTTAGCAAACTTGAAGACGATATCTAGTTGTTTTTTGATTGCTTCTGACTTAAAAAAGATTGGGAAAATTTCGACCTGCTTCAATGCTTCACTGGAATAACACCCATATCTCATTTTCTTCAACTTATTATTAAGCCTAACTGCACAAAACGAAATTTTTTTCTAAACCATATCGCAAATTTCCAAGCTACTGTTCTTGAAATCTACCCTTAAGAAATGTCACTTTTGTAATGTAATTGAACACAAGAAGATTTCATATTACATAATGCTCTAATGAATGCACTCAAGCTTCATAAGAAAACTATCTGAACTACCGATGAAGGCAACTTTGCACTTTATTAAAATTATTTAGACCTGAATAATCTGAGAATGCAATGAGTCATTACAAAAACATTGCATTTTCTTGCTTCTTCCTGTGATTCTAGTGTCACTTCCTAATTGATAAGAATTGCGATTAGCATATCGCGATACCATATTTGCATTACCTTTGATTTGAATTGGAAACTATTCGTGGCTATTCAGTACACTTGCACGAGCAGTATCATCATTTTTTTATCCTTCTTGGTAACTGTTTACCGGCTTTATATACCAGGTTGTTAAAAAATTTTCATACGAAATTTTTTTCCATTTTTTTTACTTTAGGGATATTGAAAGCCGAGGATAGTGTAAACTTGACTTGTGCTTTTTCTGCTGGCATTACTCACTTTTTACCTCCTTGATTTTTGCTACTTCTCCAACAATAAGAGTTTCCTTCAATAAAATTTACTCATATTTTTACGAAGCTTATTGTTAGAAGACCCTTGCTATTTTTTGAGTGAATTTGCAATGCATATGGGCTACTTCTGAGCTGAAAACAATCTTCTATCAAAATCTGAAAAAAATTGCGTAGTGTTCACTTGGCCATGAGATAACACTGGTGGCGTGCTAATTAGATTACGCCAAATTGAGCAGATTGCAACCAAAGGAATTTAGAAAAAGACGACCCGAGGTCACTGTCTCTTCTCGTTTTTCAGTTCCAAGTACAATTCCTCTGGGTATTCTTTGGCTACCTCATATTTTGTGGCAATTCGCCCAAATGTTTACCCTCCCGTGCATGACTTTCCTTTTACTGCTCGGACGATAAACAAAGGTCGCTGCAGCAGCTGTCACCAGCCTTCGTTCATTCTACGCAGCATCTTTCAGCTCTAAATTCGCGAGAATTCTTCATTTCACCATTTTTTCTACTATTTCCAGTCCTTTCAAGCTCTGCCGAACTCTTATCGCTCCATGTTGTGAAGAGAGTCGTTTTTTCCCACTCAACCGTCGCTACAATCGCATTTTTGCGCCAATCGATCCGCTGTGCGTCTGCTGCAAAACATTCTGATGACGTGGACGTACGATGTGTCGATTAATTAACACCATTAGTCGTATTCACGGTCGAATAGGTCTTCGATATTTTGCCAAAAAAAGTGCTGTTTTTGAAGAAAATTTGAGGCAGACACCGAAAAAGTTAGAAATTAAGGAATTATAGTCAGGCACCATGAGTTTTGACTAGTTTTATTCTTGCGTCGCTAAAGTTTTCTACAAATTTGTCTGCCTATCAGTTTGTTCACAAGTCTTGCACCAAAAAATGCTGAAAAAGTGCACTTGCAAATCATTTATAACATTTTTAAATTTGTTATGCATCACTGCAGCATACAAGATTGCTCCACTTTACTATGCTCATGAGGGATATATTCATAGCGATATCAATATCGAGTTAAAAAAATTATAAATTTTAGTAGAAAAGTGAAACATCCTAGTGCCGTTTACAAATATACCTCATTTAAGAAGAGCAGGTCGTGAAACCATAGGCAAAGAGGTAACTGGATTTTCTTGAGCCATTTGGCGTCTTAAGAGACCAGAATAAAAAATAAAGTAGTTTTTCTTGATCAGCTTGCATCACCGTGATTGTGAGGATTTTTTGTCCATTTTTCAAAAGCGCATGATTCTTTTATTTCTGAGCTACGCTGATTCGTATAATTCATAGGGACCACGAATGACTAAAGTTTTCAAAAAATATTGGCTTCTGGACCAACCTAATAACATGGGAGCTTAGAATATGATCCACATTAAGTGGCTTCATCCATCACTTCCGCCATGCAAGCTTTTGAGTTGCAAAGTTTC